CTGCTAAACCTTCCCTCTGGGGAACTATCTGTACTTGTCTATGAAGCTGGAGCTTTGATTTTTTTTTAGCATTTTGACTGATTTTTTAAGAGCCACAGAATAGTTTGTGCTATGACAATGTAAACACCGAACACACCAAAAGAAAGAGTAGACTCTCTTCTTTCATCAGGAAAAAAATGTGTTTCTACCTTATTCTGTTCTTCCTCGACTTGCGTCTCACCGGCGACATGTTCTCTCATATTGAACCGTTACCTTTTTTTTATTTGCCTACAGTCTATGCTCATCTCCCATCAAAAGTGGCACTGCCCCCTAGAGGGTCAATTTGTTACTACATACTCTGTCTAGAAGCCGATATTTACGGACAAGCTTTAGCAGATCGTCCCCCAGCCACTTTCGTTGAAAAACATAAAAGACGTCTAGAGACGTCTTTGGCAGCCAATGAGTTAACACACCAAAACCAGACTAGAGCATCTAAAAAATATCTCCAGCCTGTTTAAAAACTGAGCATTAGCTAACTAAGAGCTATTTTGGCTGTGTCATGCACATAAACAACACTTCTGAACACCGTCATGTTGGGGAAAAAAAGACAAAACAAAACCTCTAAAACAAGCTAATATAAATGGGTTCAACAACCAAAAAGATGATGCTGGTGGTGGAAAACATGGTAAAAAGCTAGCTGCTAAACCTTCCCTCTGGGGAACTATCTGTACTCGTCTATGAATCTGGAGCTTTGATTAACTTATTGACTGCCAGAGTTTTTTTAGCATTTTGACTGATTTTTCAAGAGCCACAGAATAGTTTGTGCTATGACTATGTAAACACCGAACACACCAAAATAAAGAGTAGACTCTCTTCTTTCATCAGGAAAACCTTTTTGTTTCTACCTTATTCCGTTCTTCCTCGACTTGCGTCTCACCGGCGACATGTTCTACATGTCCTACAGTCTATGCTCATCTCCCATCAAAAGTGGCACTGCCCTCTAGAGGGTCAATTTGTTACTACATACTCTGTCTAGAAGCTGATATTTATGGACTACCTTTAGCAGCGTCCCCCAGCCATTCTCGTTGAAAAACATGAAAGACGTCTAGAGACGTCTTTGGCAGCCAATGAGTTAACACACCAAAACCACACTAGAGCATCTAAAAAAATATCTCCAGCCTGTTTAAAACTGAGCATTAGCTAACTAAGAGCTATTTTGGCTGTGTCATGCACATAAACAACACCTCTGAACACCGTCATGTTGGGAAAAAAAGACAAAACATTTCCAGTTATGTCCTATTTTAAAGATTCTGACATTGATAGTAGCATTGTGTAATATAATAAATATAAAGTGATCAATTGTAATGTGCGATATTTGCAACTAGTTGGCACTTAGTTTTCCAACACTGTCATGTTGGGGAAAAAAGACAAAACAAAACCTCTAAAATAAGCAAATATAAATGGGTTCAACAACCAAAAAGGTGACGCTGGTGGTGGAAAACGTGGTAAAAAGGGGACAGACTTCCAGAAGGATTTTTGGGTGTTTAGAGGGAAACTACGAGTCGTTATTTGTCCGTCTGTCCCCCCCCCCCCCCCCCCCCCCCACGCCATCTGTGGCGCCGGCAGGCTCAGCAGATTGCAGCTTTTTACAGTGATTTAGTGATTTTATCCAGAGGGTTTGGTTAATGTGGGGGACTTCTGCTAAACCTCGCACAG